AACATTGTAACTTTACTTTGAGAGGAAAGGTCCTACCCAGAGTCGAACTCCACGACGTCACCATCCCACAGTCACCCCAGGCGCAGTATCTGGGACTGATCCTAGAAAAGCGGCTCACCTGGAAAGAACACACCAAGAAAATAACAGCTACATGTCGGAGTAAACTCAGGAAGTTGAACTGGTTGCTTAAGCCAACGAGCAAGCTCAGCCTTGGCAACAAAGTGTTGCTGTATAAATCGATTGTGATGCCCTCGATTACATGCATTCAGATATGGGGCATGGCTTCTGACACTAACGTCATGAAAGTGCAGAGAACCCAAAACCGAGCGCTACGCATGATGGCAAACGCGCCTTGGTACGTTCGAAACGACGCCCTAGCAAATGATCTCCACATTCCCTCCATTAGAGAGCAGATCAACCGACACTCGAGTCGTTACAGCGATCGCCTCATAGCGCACCCAAACCACCTAGCAACGTCTCTACGTAATCAAGCTATCCGAAGAAGACTGAAACGGAGACACCCCGGCGACCTCTGGACAAGAGGACGCATGGTTTCCCGAGTCCTGAAACAGTAATTGTTACTGTACATCTCCTGTTATTGTTTTTCATGTTATCTGTTCTTTGTTATGCTCTACGTATTATAGCCATTAGGTTGGCTGATCGACGTAAATAAAACTTATTTGTTATTTAAAAAAAAAAAAAAAAAAAAAAAAAATAAAGTAAATATATTCTTGATCAGTGTTTGGAGATTTCTTTCTGTTATGTCTATGTAAAGCGGAATTCGGCCGCCGATCTCCCGCTTCGTACTTTAGGTATAGGCATGTAAGAGAAGTTTGTGAAATTAAAAAACTAGTTGAAAATTGAACTCCCTGTCGTACGCACTGCGTAACTTTCGTTCGCCTTCGTTTTCGTTTTCGCTATTCCGACTCCAATAAACCATCGCAAAAGAAAATAACCACTGCAATCATAAGTTCTCGCGTTTGTCGTCAATAAAAACGCTTATTGAATTTTCATGGTGACCCCGACGTGATTAGCAGTTGGTATTATTCTTTTTTTCGCATTTTTTTTGGTGTGTGACAAACAATTTAAACAGCAAACATTTCCGCGTCGGTGTTTCTACAACAATCAAAAACCAAATAAATTTCTTCGCGTCGGCTTAACATATAAAAGCAAAAGTGCCAATAAATAAACATTTTTCGTCGTTGGACTTTTTGCTGCTGAAGAAGCCTTTTCGTCGCTGCCGCTGAAGAACCTTTTTTGATTGTTGCCAAACCAATAATTTTCGTTGTTGGACTTGTTACCGCTGGACTTGTTGTTGCTGCTAAAGAAGCCCTTTTGTTGCCGCTGGATTTGTTTGATTGCTGCCAAAAGCCTTTTCGTCGTCGCCGCTGGAACTGATTACGCAATTTGCACACCCTACGTCGAGGCATATGGATCCGAAAAGGGAAGTCGCTGATCAGACCGAATCGGCCAGCCAGGTATAGAGTGTAAAAAGTTGATTGTGGCGTGTTGTTAAAATTGTGTTCGGCCAATCTTTCAACTTTTTGCATTCGTGTAAAATCGGTAGATAGTGAGCATTCTAACCAAAAAATTTGATTTCGCATGCACTAACAATTTTAATTCGAATATTATACATTCATAAATATTTATATTATATTGCTTATATTTTATACTTTATATTGCTATAAATATTGAATTAAGTGAATCGCTTTGGACCTATAAAATTAAATTCGTTGACCCAATAAGTGCAAATTAAATCCCCCAATTCGTCGTAGTGAGCACCAATTTAGGGTTAAAAATTAAGGCCGAAAATAAAGTGATTTTAATAGTGCATCGAGTGAACTATTGTGCAAAGAAAATCGCGGAAAAAACTTGTGCGCGCATTTTTCATTACCAAATTTGCCGCGCTTTTCCGCCATTTTCCCAAGCCTTAGCGCCATTTCCCGCGCTTCTGCATCCCGCTTATATATTCGTTGCCCTTATATATCGGTCAGTGCATCATTTTCCGCTAGTCGGCATTTCCAAAGAGTGAGCCGCCAACCAAATACAGACATACAGACATACACACACACGCACTCTCACCCACGCAGCGCTGCCAGTGTTTTTGATCTCGCTTTCGCGCTTTTCGTTTTTGATCGCTGGACTATTGCGAGCGTTTTTTGTGTTATCGCTGTGTTTCGGTATTTGCGCTGAGCGTGTGCTCCTCTACAATTTGTGCGTGGGGCTTATTAGTTCCGTAAGGAATTAATAAATTAATTATTATTCTTCTAAACGACTTCGTTAAATTTGTTCGACAAATCCCCTACACTGCAGACGTTCGGCATATACCACTCGTTTATTTTTTTATTTGTTTCAATAATAAAAAATAAATTAAAATTTTTATTTTAATTTTGTTTTTTTTTTAATAAAAAACTAAGTTCCCAGCCTTCGATTGTCAACCAAATTTAATAAAATAACAAATCAAAATGAGCAACAAGGAAATCGAAGCGCTAAAAAATAAACGAGACGGAATTATGCGAAGTATATCCCGAACTCAACAATATTTGGCAGAGGGTAGATTATCTTTGAATCCAGTCGAATTAGAATGTCGTTTAGAAATTTTAAGTTCGCACATCGAAAATGCTTCGACAATCCAAAACCAAATCGAAGCGAGAGACCCGGAGGATTTGTTTCGGGAAGAATTGGAAGAGACCGCTGTTTTGGCCAAGTCCCTGCTAATTTCTTTAATAAACAAAACCAGGCGTACGAGCGTCGATGAATCCGCTCCACCGGCAAGGCGCACTCCCCACTGCCGCCTGCCGAGCGTGTCTCTTCCAACATTTAGCGGAAAGCACTCCGAATTTAAAAACTTTATAAGCCTTTTCGAAACGTTTGTCGACAAAGATGACACTTTGCACGATATTGAGAAATTTAACCATTTAATATCGTGTCTGGCTGGAGACGCTTTAGGCACAGTCAGGGCATTTCAAGTCACCGCGGCCAATTATCCCAAGGCCCTGGCTAGCCTGAAGCGGGTGTACGATAATGATTGTCTGATTTTCTTCGACAATATATCGACACTTTTTAATCTGCCAAAAATGTCCCAGCCATCAGCTACAGCCTTGAGGAACCTGATCGACACAGTCAGAGCTCTATACGATTCGTTGCTGTCCATTGGGGATGACAAACGTATAACGAATGCCATCCTCATTCATCTAATCATGAGCAAAGTCGATGCAGGGACAAAAAGAAAGTGGGAAGAACAGTTGGACTATACTTCGCTTCCGCTTTGGAGCGAATGTGAGTCGGCTCTGGACAGGCGATACCAACACATGGTCGCCGAAGAGGCTTCCAAGCCGAAAAATGTTCAGCCAAGCCAGACTATTCCGAAGAAGAATGGAAATAAAAGTTTTTCATTGATCGCTGCCAGGGACGACGCTTCTTTATGTGTGTTTTGCAAATCAGCAGAGCATCAAGTAGGAAACTGCGCTTCTTTCGCAGCTCTAACAGTGCAGCAGAGGTTCGATTTTGCCAAGAAAGTGCCCTTATGCATTAACTGCCTTCGCAAGGGTCACACGGTGAAGAAATGCAAATCGAACAGGTGCAGGGTGTGCAAATCTTCACACCACACTTTGCTGCACATATACTCGCCTAAGACAAATCTCGCGTTGCCGCCTCCTCCTCAGCCCACGCTCATGCAAGAGACTCCATCCACTTCACATGTTTTGCATGCGACTGCTTCGGATAGAGTCATTCTTGCCACAGCTATCGTGAGCGTATTATCGAAAAGTGGCGAATTTGTTGTGGCTCGAGCGTTGCTTGACTCTGGTTCACAAATAAATTTTGTAACCGACGAGCTCGCTCAGAGACTACAAATTAAAAGAGAGGATGTGTGTATGAGCTTGCGGGGCATTGGTCAAACTAATGCCCAAGCAACAAAGAAAATAAATACAATAGTGAAGTCGCGAGTAGGGAGCAGCCAGTTGTCGTCCGATTTTTATATTTTAAAGAATATTTCTGGTTATCATCCGGATCAAGCGGTGAACACCAGCGGGTGGAGGGTGCCGGAAAATATTAAATTGGCAGATCCATTCTTCTTCAAGCCCCAAAAAATAGACATGCTTATCGGCGCAGATTCATTTTTTGAAATTCTGTCAGTCGGCCAGATAAAGCAGGGGCCTGAACTTCCCATCTTACAAAAAACTGTTCTCGGCTGGATAGTGTCAGGGAGATGTACCTCGGAAACCAAAATTAAGGCAGAAAATTCGGTACATCTCAGCTGCCAGGAAGAAGCGTTGGAGTCAATCGACACAACCCTGCAGAAATTTTGGCCTGTGGAGGACTTGCCGCCTAAGGCTAAAGTCCATACTCCTGAGCAGCAACTTTGTAAACAACACTTTGAGAAGAATACTCAAAGACTGTCGTCCGGGAGATTTTCGGTTCGTCTGCCGTTCAAATCTGACCCGAATTCTCTTGGTTCTTCGTATGAAGCTGACCGAAACTATCAGCTCATAGTGTGGAGACGAGATCCTTCTGAGTCTCTGAAGATCTTTAGATTAAATCCCGTGACATACGGAACATCGCCAGCACCCTTCATGGCAATCCGGTGTTTAATGCGGCTTGGAGAGATGGCGCAAGCTAAGTATCCAAATGCCGCAAAGGTCATTCAGAATGATTTTTATGTTGACGATTTGTTGACAGGCGCCGGATGCGTTGAGAACCTGCAAAGCCTTCGTGAGGAAGTTTCTCAGGTTTTGCAAGGGGCAGGTTTCGAATTGGCAAAGTGGTTTTCGAACTGCCCAGAGATCTCCGCATCTGACAGCGCTATCATGCCATTATTGGCTGACTCAGATGTGACTAAAACCCTTGGAGTGGTTTGGTTACCTGGTAAAGATTACTTCCAATTCCGGTTGGATGACTCTTTCCAGGATCTTCGTCCGACAAAACGAAACATACTCTCCGTGACTGCGAGACTTTTCGATCCACTGGGCCTGTTGTGTCCTTTGGTCACGAAGGCGAAGATGCTTCTACAGGAGCTGTGGCTTCGAAAATTAGATTGGGACGAGTTGCTACCGATGCAGCTACAAACGTCGTGGGAAGCCTTCAAGGCAACTCTGCTGCAACTGCCCAAAGTTAAGGTAACGCGATTCGTTCATACAGATCCGCAAGTCCCGATTGAGATCCACGGTTTCGCTGACGCTTCCATGCGAGCATATGGAGCGGGCATCTACGTTCGCACTCAAACTGCTGAAGGTTTGAAAGTGTCATTACTGACTGCCAAATCCAAAGTAGCTCCCCTCAAGACGAAAACTTTGCCTCGCCTTGAGCTGTGTGCAGCTCACCTTCTAGCAGATCTTCTTAATCGTGTAAGGCCATTACTAAATTGCCCTATCAAAAAGTGGTCCTATGGACCGACTCCGAGATAACTCTGCATTGGATCAAAACTCATCCTTCGTCGTTGTCCGTTTTCGTCTCAAACCGAGTAGCTGAGATCCAAGAGTGGTCGGAGAACGCAATTTGGCGACACGTTCCCACGAAAGTTAACCCAGCGGATATAGTGTCTCGAGGATTTGACGTTGAAGATCTTTTAACGTCCATTTGGTTCGCTGGGCCGTCATTTTTGCTCGACACAGAAAGTAGTTGGCCTGTAAATCAGCATTTCGAACTTCCTTCAGAAGTTGTGTCGAGTGAGTTACGCAAGTCGGCGTTAACTCTTGTTGTCACACCAGAGCCCAACTACCTGCTTCAGAAAATCGAGTCCTTTTCGTCGCACCTGAAGCTGCTGAGAGTTTTCGTGTGGGTTTTAAGATTTATTCGGAGGTGTAAGAAAGTTTTACAGCCTTTCGAAAAAAGCATTACGCCAAGAGAATTGAATTTTGCGTTCGAGAAAATTGTAGAAGTCATCCAATCTCACGAATTCAGTGACGACATAGGCAAAATTCGGAAAAAGAAACCGGTATCAACGCAGATTCAAAAGCTAAATCCCTTTGTGCAGGAAAATAAATCAGATTGGTGCTCTTCGACATTATTGCGCGTTGGTGGTCGGTTATTGAATGCTCCTATCCCGTACGAAGCCAAATTTCCGTTGTTGCTAACAAAAAGCTCACAGTTTGTTAAAACCTACGTGTCGTATCTGCACGTTACGAATTGTCACGCTGGTCCTCGAGCTCTTGTGAGTCTCCTACGAGAGAAAGTCTGGTTGGTCAATGCTCAAGACGTATGTCGCCGAACAGTTCGTTCGTGCATGCGCTGCTTTCGATGCAAGCCGCAGCTCTTGACGCAAATTATGGGGAACTTGCCATCAGACAGACTCCGAACTCTCCGCCCTTTTAATATCTGTGGCGTCGATTTTTGTGGGCCATTTAGCACAACGTATCGCATCCGTGGTAAACCACCGTACAAGTCATATGTGGCCTTGTTTGTGTGTTTTGCGTCCAAAGCGGTCCACTTAGAGTTAGTGTCTGACCTTACCACTGATGCATTTCTCTTGGCTTTCCAAAGGTTCGTGAGTCGTCGCGGGATTCCGGAGAAGGTGTGGTGCGACAACGCGACCAACTTCGTCGGCGCGGATCGGCACCTGAAAGAGTTCCGGGCCCGTCTGGAGGAGCAGGGGGCGGTATCGAAGCACTCGCGTCAAGAAAAGGATGCGAGTTTGCGTTCATACCGCCCAGAGCACCTCACTTCGGCGGTCTATGGGAAGCAGGTGTGAAGTCTGCAAAGCACCTGTTCCTTCGGACGGTCGGTCACGACCTCTTGACCGCGGAGGAGCTCGGAACTCTCCTCGCCAGCGTGGAGGCGGTGCTGAACTCGAGGCCCATAGGAGCGCTAAGCAGCGACCCCAGCGACGGCGAAGCTCTCACACCCGGACATCTCCTGATCGGCGGCCCGCTGGTCGCACCACCACCCTCGGCACTCCCGGACCAGATCAGCCCGACCTGCTTGCGACTATGGCGCAGTGTCTCGTCGCTCAGGCACAGGTTCTGGCAGCGATGGTCCCGGGAGTACGTCTCCAGCCTGCAGACGAGGCAAAAGTGGTCCAAGGAGGTCCACAACGTCGACGTGGGAGCTCTCGTCGTCGTCGGCGAGGACAATCTGCCGCCCCAGCAGTGGAGGATCGGGCGCGTCGTGGAGGTGCACGTCGGCGCTGATGGCAAGGTCCGAGTGGCGGATGTCAAGACGGCAGACGGGGTCTACAGGCGAGCCATCCATCGGCTGGCGCTTCTTCCGATGTTGTCCTGAAGGACGTCGTCCCTTCAGAGGGGGCGGTGTTTGGAGATTTCTTTCTGTTATGTCTATGCAAAGCGGGGATCGGGGCTTAATAAAGCTTTCTCGCTCAGGCGAATTCGGCCGCCGATCTCCCGCTTCGTACTTTAGGTATAGGCATGTAAGAGAAGTTTGTGAAATTAAAAAACTAGTTGAAAATTGAACTCCCTGTCGTACGCACTGCGTAACTTTCGTTCGCCTTCGTTTTCGTTTTCGCTATTCCGACTCCAATAAACCATCGCAAAAGAAAATAACCACTGCAATCATAAGTTCTCGCGTTTGTCGTCAATAAAAACGCTTATTGAATTTTCAATCAGCATCACCATCTGAATCGAAATACGTCTGTACGTCTGTCCGTCTGTCTGTCTGTCTGTCCGTCTGTCCGTCTGTCCGTCTGTCCGTCTGTCCGTCTGTCCTCCTGTCCGTTTCTGCCCAAACTAGTCTCTCATTTTTAAAGCTATCTTGCTGAAACTTTCCCAAAAGGTGTGTAGCTATTGCACGCAGTATATAAGTCGGAACGGGCCGGATCGGCCGACTATATCGGATAGCTCCCATATAAGAGGTCAAATAAATAAAGGACAAAAAATTATTACGCCGTTGTTATTCATCGAATCGACTTGAATTCTTCCAGATGGTGTTTTCTAACTACAATTGAATTTCGGATTAAATTTGATCAAAATTGGATAACTCAATCAACAATAGCTGCCATAGGAAAGATCGAAAAATATATAAAGAAATAATGGCAAAATAATCATAACGTTGTTGTTTTTTATTCCACGAGCATGATTTTTACAACATCGACTTTATGAACTATAGAAAAGTCGTCATAGCTTCAATGTTGTTAGCCTTTATGTATTTTGTTCAACATGTTTGATGACTGCAAAGGTATATAAGCTTCGGCTTGCCGAAGCTAGCTTTCTTTTTTTTTTTTTTTTTTTTTGGTTTGGTAATTTTAAGGAGTTCAATTATTATTTTTATGTCTTCTTGTGATTGGTTGCTGAGGTAGTATGTTGCATTTTTGTTTTTAAGAACAGTACCATAGGGTAAGAATGTCTTCGATAGTGACTGGGGAATAGGATTGGCAGATCAGGCAGTTTCTTAAGTTATCAGTGTCCATATAGTGTTTGTGGGTAATATTGGTGTGGCCCAATCGCAATCGGGGGAATTGAATTTGGTCGAGTCGGTTTATGTCTTGTTGTTTTATGTTTGAAAGGTAGGATGTGTGTGATTTGTTGGTGTTAATGTTTTTTTTTACTATGTGTTGCATTTTGTGAGAAGACTTTGTGTTTCTGGTTTAGTTGCTCTTTTAGGAATTTATTAATGTCTTTTATGTTAAGGTTTTCTGCGGCGATTTTAATATTGACTTGGCTGTTTTATGGGCCATTTCGTTTCCTTTTACGTTGTTGTATCCAGGGGTCCATAAGATTTTAATTTTTGGGTAATGTTTCATGATTGTTGATCGGATTAGGGTGGGGTAAAGATTGTTGTTTTGTGGGTTTTTGATTGCTTCGATTGCACCTAGTGAGTCTGAGCAGAAGATGAATTTTCCATTCATTTTTTAAATTATTTTTGTTGCTTCTAAGATTCCTTTGATTTCCGCTGATTGAATAGATGAGTATGGAGGTAGACTTCCGTAGGCTAAGATTTCAGTTTCCGTGGTGATTGCGTATGTCGTAATTGAATTTTGTTGGGATCCGTCGGTATAGATGAAATTGTGGTTATCAAATTCCGTTTTTGTTTCGTTGAAAACTTGTTGATATATTTCTGATGGTGTGTTTTATTTGCTATAATTGTGTAATTTTAGATTAATTGCATTATTGGGAAGTTGCCAGGTTGGTTTTATTTTGTTTGTTCGATTTGGTTTGTATGGTAAGTTATGTATTTGACATTTGTTTATTGTTCGTTGGATTGTTGAAGTCCATTTTGTCTTGTTGTTTTTAGGCTTTATGAATTTGTGAAAGGGGGTTTTTTAACTAGCCTTGGTTTATAAATAAATAAATTTTCATAAAAATCGGACAACTATATCATATAGCTGCCATAGGAAAGATCGAAAAATCTATATAGAATTAACGGAAATAAAATGATAACATCGTTATTTCTCATCAGAAAATCATAATTTTTGGAATATAGAGTTTTCTAACGACTCTTGAATATCAAATAAAATTTTATCAAAATCGGACGACTATATCATATAGCTGTCATATGAACAATAGTCAAAAATATGAAAAATTAATAGAAAAGTCGTCGTTGCTTCGATGTTGTTTAGCCTTTGTGTATTTTGTTCGAAATATTTGATGACTGCAAGGGTATATAAGCTTCGGCTTGCCGAAGCTAGCTTCCTTTCTTGTTGATATTAGGGTTGCTTTAGTTAATTTTAGTAGGGTGTGTGTGTTGCAGTTAAATCTTGGGCTGGCCAGGCATTTAATGATGTTCATTTTCTTTGAGAGTGCAGGGATTAGGCTTTTAATGTGTGTGTTCCAGTTGTATTTATTGTTTATCCAGAGTCCAAGTATTTTGAGTGATGTTGTATTTGTTATGTTGTTGTTGTTACAGGTTATTGTGCAGGAACAATCATGTTTTCTGCAGATATGGAGGTGTTGACATTTGGTTGGAGAAAGAGAGGCACCAGAGTAGTTGCCCCAGTTTGTTATTTCCGTAAACAGGTTGTTTAGGTTAAATGTCGTGTTTTTATTTTTATTTAAATTTATAACTAGAAAGAAGTCGTCTGCGTATGCACTGAAATTTATTTGTTTGTATAAGGATATTATTTTAGATAATTTATTGAAAGCTATTAGAAATAGGACAACAGAAATGGGAGAACCTTGTGGTATTCCATTTTCAAGTGGATAGATGGATGAGATTTGTGTGCCTACTCTGGTTGTTATTTTACGGTTCGTCATGAAGTTTTTTATGTAGTTAATTATTTTAGGTCCGCATTTCCATTCTATGAGTTGGTCGATTATTGTGTGTATTCCCACTCTGTCAAATGCTCTTGCAAAGTCAAGAGAGACGAGTGAGATATGTTTTTTTGCTATTTAGTGACTTCGTAATGAGATCGTCTACATATAGTAGACTATCCGAAGTTGATTTTCCTTTTTAAATCCGAATTGGTTTGTGTGTAATAGGTTATTATAATTAAGGAACCACCATAATCATTGTGCTATTATTTTGTCTAAAATTTTGCCTACACAGCAATTTAATGAGATGGGTCTGTAGGAGGTGATGTCTGTTTTGTTTTATTGGGTTTTAAAATTGGTATTGTAAGACTGAGTTTGTAGGATTGGGGAATGTGGGTCTGAAGTATTTGGTTATAATGGGCTATTATTCTCTTTTGTAGAATTGGGGAGCTGTTTTTTATCATTATATTCTATTGAATCCTGGTGTAGAACCTTTAAGTGACTGTATTGCTAAGTTAAATTCTATTTTTGTTATGTCCTTTTCTATTTCTATTGCAGTTGTAGATGGAATGTGATTTTGGATTATTGGTTTGTATTTGTGAGACGTAAATTGTAAGTTGAAGTTTTGGTCTTTTGAGAGATCGGACCAGTGTTTAGCGAATTAGTTGGCTATTTCTAATGGGTCAGTTGTGTTGTTATGGCTGTTTGATAAACAGTGTATTTGTTTAACTTGGTTCAGACCACAGAATCGTCTTATGTTGTTCCAGATTGTTGCTGTTGGTGTATTGGCATGTATTGTGGATGTGAAGTTAGTAGTGGCTTCTTTTTTTCTAATTTTAATTTCTCTTTTGAGGAGTGCATTTAATCTGCGGTAGTCTATGATGTTTGTTTGAGTTATGTCTCTATTGAGTGTTTTCCAGGCGCTTTTCTTGGCTTGGTGTAGCTTAGTTAGTTCCTTGTTCCACCAAGGAACTTTTTGTTTCTGACGAGTGGGAGATGTTAGGTGGGCGCTTTGCAAGATTATTTTGTTTATGTTTGCGGTTTCTTTGTTGACATGGGTACATACAGGGTAGGTGTTGTTGATGTTGGTGGTAAGGTAGTTGAACTTTTCCCAATTGGCTTCTTTTATTTTAAAATTTGGCTTGTTGTATTTCTGTTGTGGCTCTAAAGGGAAAAAAGGAGATTAGGATTGGAAAATGGTCGCTTCCGCAAGTATCGTCGAATACCTTCCAATTTGCAAAGGGTGTCAGAGTTGCAAAGCAGAAAGAGAGATTCTGTTTTTTTTTTTTTTTTTTTTTTTTTAATTTTCACATAGACGTTGGCGTACCGCAGTACACTCAAGTGGCCCTTGTGAAACCAGGACTGTTCCTGTGTAGTTGTGCTTCTCACTGCCCCCCCGAACAACCGTTTGGTATTACCTCGGGGGGAGTATAGCCCTAGTGGCTCCTTCCTAAGACTTGCTCCTCGCGTCTCAGCTCCTTCATTACGCTGTTTGCCATTTTTGACGCTGCATCCCAGTTTGCGACGCTTGCCAGCATGTTGCTGACCAGGTTCTCTGGTGTCAGCGGCTCGCCGCACTGTCTTTCCAGATCGTCCCTCTGCCCGGAAAACCTTGGGCAGGTGAAGATGACGTGCTCGGCATCTTCTGGGCATCTAGTGCCACATCTTGGGCAGGACGGGTCTTCCGCGTGCCCGAAGCGGTGGAGGTACGCTCTAAAGCAGCCGTGGCCGCTTAGAAATTGGGTCAGGTAGTAGTTCACCTGCCCGTGCGCCCTGTCTACCCACGCCTCAATCCGTGGGATGAGTTTGTGCGTTCATCTGCCCCTAACGGAGCATTGCCATCTTCGCTGCCACTCGGCAAGGGATCTCTTCCTGTTTTCCTCTGGGGAAAGCTCGTGTGCACATGCGAGCTCTCGTATGCCTACATCAAATGGCATCATACCGGCCAGAACTTCGGCTGCATCTCCTGAGACCGTACAAAACGCGCTGACGATTCTCAGGGCACAGGTTCTGTAGACCGCTCTAACCTCTTTTGTGTAGGTCTTATTCGCTGTGGCGTCTGCCCAAATTGGTGCCGCA